ACTTTGATCATATAGGTGAAAATTTTTGATAGAAATGTTGTAATTATCAAAATTATATAATATTATAGAATCAGTACCAAACTAATTTATATTATATATTAGCAATATGTAATATATATGTATATTATACCAATACCTATAAATGTATCCTTGTAGTAATGTGATATAAGTTAATTAAAAACTTTTAGATAATATTCATATCTAACATTATTTTGTATATATCATAGCAACTCTTAAATCTTTTTTTTGTTAGCTATGCAATAATTTATATTCTTTTAAGCAGTTATAAAATATTAAATACAAAATAAATTGTGTAGTTTCATATTACCAGTATTTTTTTATTGTATTTGAAGAAATTAGTAATCATTTTTATGCAGTTTTTCTTCAAGATATTAACAGTAAATTGGGTTTTTACTGAACAAATAAAAGAACAAAATATTTTTAATAGAATTGTCCTGAAAGTTTATTCTATTAATTTTTTTTCAATGAGTTAGGATTTTATATTAGCTGTTTATATGAAGATATTTTTGTATTTTTAATAGCCAAAATGGCTATAATCAGATAGGAACTATAATACAATGTAAATTTTGAAGAAGACAAACAAAAATGAAAAGTGAGACCTTTGTGTTAGTTGAAGAAATGAATAGTAAAAGCAATATTATTGAAAAGTCAATTGAGTTTATTTGGCAAAAAAAGTCAATTACAAAACAAATAAATAAAAAAAATTTTATATATTATATGAAATATTAAAATATACTTTAGAGATGTAGTGCAAAACAATTGAGATAGCAAATTAGATATCAAAAATATGATTTAATAATACAACATTAGCAATAGTTATAATTTTATTATATAATTAAAATTTTGATATTTTTATTATTTTTTTTAAATACTTAGTAGATGTTTTGTTAATTTTATAATATATTTGTCAATTTTTAAAATTACAAATTTGATATACAGCTGACTGTTTTTCTTTACTAGGCCTTTATCTTTAGTGTATTATTAAAAAATAACTAAACCTAAAAAAATTATATTAATAAATAGTTTAAATTTTTTATAATATAGTATAATATTTTGTATATTTATATGTTCATAATTTTTTTTTTATACTTGATGTAGTAAACTATTGTAAACAAAAACCTTGTTGATATAATTCTTGCATAAATAGTAGTATATAATATGCTAATACATACATATACAAAGTTATATCAATTCATTGATACAATCCTTCTTGTATAATTTTATTATCTAATATTTTTATTGTTGTTTAACAAAATCTTGAACCCACTTGCAAGCATCTTGTAAAAATTAAATTATATCTTCTTTTGATAAATTGTTACATTGCATCATACAATATAATTAATAAAATCTTTTTTATAAATTTTTAATATTCTTAACTTGTTTATTAGTAAGAAAAATAGAAACAAGAAATTTTTAATAATTTTTAGTTTTATTGGTCTTATTAATATACACCAAATTCACATTGCAGTTTTAGTTTTTTTTACAGGTAGAAAAAATTTAAAACTAGTAACTCCAATTAATTTTATTATATATTCAATTTTTTTTAAACAGATATTGAATTTGTTGATTTATAGTCAAAAGTTATTAAATTATACATTAGTTCAAAAAAAAGCATTTGAGCAATATATCAACAATGCATCAAATGTAAATGATCTGAAACACATTATGTAGATTTAATAAATAATAATAAACTTAAACAAATTTGATCTAAATTTAAATAAAACTTAATAAATTTTATTTATTAAAATATTTACATATATATATAGGTTATATTATCACTTCTAATACATCATATTTTATAAAATAAATCAAAAAGCTTATTAATAATATTAAATCTAATAATTGTTATTTTAAATTATACTTTTAAGATTATATATACTATAATATTAAAGTTTAAAAATAAATTTATTATATTTTAATTAAATATTTTTTCTTATCAATTTACAAATTTATAAAAAATATTTAAATTATTTAGTTTTTAATTTATAACCTTATTTTTTATTATACAAACTATATTTTGTCTATTAAATAAAAATATTCTTTATATTGTTAAAGCCAAAATGTGTACCAGAGTTGCTCTAACCCAGTGCCACCCCAACCTATACCCTTTTACAGTAAGAACGCCCCTGAAACAAGCAAACGATTGTGCATCGATTGTAACCTGAGAAACTTGGAAGCCAAGCCACCCATCTGAAACAATGCTGTAATGATGCAGAATCAGGTACTATAGCTGTTTGGTAGAGTAGATCTGCCAGATTGGGCTAGTTATTTGTAACACATGAGGCCATTCAAGATCCTGATTGTAATGACAGATCTGAAACTGTTGATTTCAGAGAGAAAATGTTGGATCTTGGGCCTCTGTGCCATCTCTTTTTGTGAGCTGCCATTCTTGTATATAAGTGCCTTTTTTTTAGAAGAAGAAAGAAAAGAATTAAGAGAGTTAACAATCATATTAATAATAAAAAAAACTGCCATTAGCAATAAACCGAGACCTTGCACTCACACCTTAGCCTTGCCAAATTGTTCTGCCTCTTCCGTGGTGCACCATTTCATGACATTTGGTATTCTCAAGCAACAATCCATCATATTTTCCTTGCCCCTATTATTCCAAATATAAAACCATAAAAAAAAACTAATCACCTTCAACAATATTATTTTGTATATTAAATAAAATTTTTTTAAAATTTAAAAAAATTTTTATTAGAATAATTTATAAATAAATACTTGTAAATATAAAAAATATAGTAATTTTTTATATAAAATATATTTAGGAAATTACTTTTTATACCCTTCATTATTGCTATTTATACTACCCTACCTCTGCAAAAAAATATTTTAACTAATCATTTTATAATAGTTATATAATACCAATCAAATTAAATAATTAATAACTAAAAAATATAAGTTATAATTCAAAAACTTACCAAAATTATATAATGTTTTTATATAAATAACAATAATAGGAGGTACAAATAGCAATGCCCATCATCTTAAATTGGTTAGAGATATTAAGTTCTTAAATTCAAAAGTTTAATCTATAAACTTATTCAACATCTGAATATAAACCAAATTTTTTATAACTTTGAAGTATATTGATGGAATAGATTAGTAAAGCAATCAAGATTCAGCAAATCAACCAAATCGTACAGTTAAAATGGGTCGGGTGGCCCATGTCCTAAGTAAATTGGTCCAAGAATAATTTAGCTATAGTATAGTTGACTGTATTATTGCTTAATGCCAGCTTAGCTCTAGGTTCTAAATTTTAGCCAATCTGCTGAATTTGGTTGCTCCATTAAATCAATTCATGGTGTAACCAGAATGGTATGTATTCTTTCGACAGTTAACACTAAGGGTTAATTTGACTTAGAATTAACAGAAATTGATCCTTCATTTAGTGTGCAACATAAAAAAAAATTTAATTTACAATAGTACATGTTATGATTATAATTCTATACCAATTATTATAATAAAAATAATGTAGGATTATAATCATAACATGTACTAGCAGAATGATCTAGTATTGTAAATTAAATTTTTTTTTTTATATGTTGAACACTGGGTAAAGGATTGATCACATAACATTGACAGTTCCTCCTGTTCTTAAAATTATATTGGTCAAGAATTGAATCAGTTTGTCATTAACCAATCAAATTAAATGCATATAATGAAATAAAATAACTTGCATTAAATTAAACTGGGATATAATGTATTTTACATTGCAAAATATCAAAATTCAAAGTGAATAAGAAAAAACTAAATGAACTTACAATAAAATGTTTATTTTTTATTACATGAATACTATATTATGTGCATCTACTTATTGTACTAAAATCATAGTAAAAGTATATTAAATTCTAGTTTTTTTGTTTCTGAATGTGCGATTGTAATTTTCACATTTTTTGTATCTTTAAATTTTTCTAATCAGTTAACCATTTAATCCAGCAATAGTAATATAACTTTGGCTAAGACCAACACAATTTGGCCTAAAACTGTGAACAAATTTTTATATAAAATTAAAGTGATTCTTTAAATAGCACATCCTTTTTGCTTTATTAATAACCTTATGTCACAAAACCTGAATATCTCAATGTATAAATATTTCTAAATTGCTTTACTGAAGTTCACAAACTATGTTAAATTTCCCTTAAGTAATTTCTTTGTTTTTCTAATTAATCGCATTGCTATGTATAATTAAAAGTTTATAACATATTAAAGCAACTAATATATAATCACAAATCGACTTTAGAATGATTAAGCATATACTCAAACTAATCATGCATATATTCAATTGACCAATTGAAGCTTTTTTTCACACTGTCCTAAAGGAATAATGTTATTACCTATCTATTGATATGCTCTTTTAACTACTATAAAAAAAACAATCTAAAGAGGTTCATATTATTTGAATTTGGCTGTAATGCTGAAGAGATATATGTTGTCATCATATAGTTTTAATTCAATCTTTTCAAGAACCAAAATTTGCTTTTAATCTAGATTTGAAAAAAGTGAATAAATGGGTTGGCGTTAATAGATATCAAGCAGATTGACATTTAAAAAAGAATAATACCTTAACTTTTACTGCTTATATCTCGATAATATAAGCATGAAAGTTAAGGTATTATTCTTTTTTAAATGTCAATCTGCTTGATTTCTATTGATGCCAGCCTATTTACTATTATTTGGTTTATTCTAAAAATGTCTCAGTATGTTAATACCCTTTCAGATTTTCTTTCCAAGTTATATTTCGTATACATTCCAATAATTGTTGATTGATCATGATTATAACGACATATTTGTGCAATGCATTAGTTAGTAAAGCATTGATTAGTAATGTAAAACTGTAAAGCATCATTATGTGATGCATAAAGTGAAGTAATATAGAATTTGTAAACTAGAAAAAGTATAAATTAGGAAGTGCTTTTAGTACAAAAATAATAAACTATTTTCTTGTTATAATAATAAATTCTTTTAATCCGAATATGCTTCCACCACCTGTTGTGACATATGAAAGTGTGATTGAACTTTTTCAAAGTGCTCAAACATTTGCCAATTCTCAAGGTTATGTACTGGTATAAAAGAGAATGCATAAGGATTATTATGGCAATTTGAAAAATATAACATTGCATTGTGACCAAGATGGAGTTTACAGCAGCTCAAAAATTCATCAAAGACAAACAACTACCTGGTTGATTTATTGTCCTTTTGAATTATATGCAGCTTAACATAATAACTTATAGTACATAAAAGTTTGTGATAATAACCATAATCATAACTCTTCAGAAGATTTATCAGGGCATCCAATGTCTCGTCGATTCACAAAGCAGCAATTAGTAAATGTTGAAAAAATGACTGCCTTCAGCTCACACCCCTGAGAAATAATATCAACCATCTGTCAAAATGATCCATCAGCATTAGTAATATGTAAAAACATTTATAATGCACGTGAGTGACTTCATCAAAAAAATTTAGCAGGTTGCACTTCAGTTGAAGCATTAATAGATGAGCTTAAAAAGGGTAATTATATATATGAATTCAAATGTAATGATACAGGTCATATTACTTATCTTTTTTTTTTACTCACAATGAGTCTGTTATGCTTACCCATCAATATATAGTAATGGATAGAGAGTTGACTCTTATAAATGCTCTTAAAATGACTTTTCCAGATTCTACTAATTTATTATGCTTATGGCATATTAATAAAAACATAATAAAAAATTGTAAGTCTTAATTCAAAGAAGGTAATGAGTGGCAAACTTTTCTCTTAGAGTGAAATAACATTGTTTAGTCACAAACTGAAGTTGAATTTGATATGAAATGGCAACATTTCATTTATACTTATACAAACAAACTGCATATTATTAAATATCTTGAAGAAACTTGGATTTCTTTAAAAGAGAAATTCATAAAGGCTTGGACAAATAAGTTTCTTCATTTAGGAACAACTATTACTTCTTGCATTGAGGATGCTCACACTATAATAAAGACTTATTTATGTACATCAGCAGGAGATCTTTGTGATGTTTGTATAAAACTTTCCTTGGCAGTAAATAATCAAAAACAAGAATTAGATACTAAGATTTCATCAGAAAAATTTCATTTTCCAACTTTTGTACAAAATAATTCTTTTTATGCAAACATTAAGGTCAAAATTTCAAATTTTGCCCTTAAAAAGGTAGATGAGCAGTACCAAAGGATAAAATGTGCTACTGCACAAGATCTCTTACCACTATGCACTGGATCTTTCTTAAGCACAATGGGACTACCTTGTGCTTATAAAATTTAAATTATTGAAAATGATCAAGGTTTAACACTTGACGATTTCCATGAACATTGGTGGATTCAAGATTGTTCGTCAATACCATCTATTGAGACCAACATTCAAGAACTACAGCCTCTTTTGCAAACTTTACAAGAAAAGTATGAAGAATGGCCAGAACATCAACAATCAGCTGCTCAAGAGAAATTAAACAATTTGATTAATACTCTATTAACAGTTTTGCAGAATCCTCAAATTGTTCGTACTAGAGGAAAACCTGCTAGTGCCTCTAATCATCAAAAAAATGATTCAACCAGAAGAGACCCTTCTGGGTTTGAGTTGGTAGAACACAAAATAAAATGATGCACCCACTGCAAACAACCTGGACACTATGCCAGCACTTGTCCAAATAGAAACTAAATTAGTATAAGATATGATATATAGAAAGAATAAGTAATTCTGTATATACATATGCATCAACAATTATGTAATACAATATAAATACACAATTTTGCAATTCATATTTGTGTAAAGTTATAATGCTTTCAAAATTACTAACTTATGATACTTATAAAATTGTCTTCAATTCTACCTCAAACTGCTATACTTATAAAAGGTTCATGTAATATTATTATATTATCTATTGCTATTCTTCTACTAAATCCTAAAAATGATTTTATTAGCCTGGCTAAGCATACATCAAAGTTCAGTTTAGTCTTATACATAAAAGTCTAAAATTGTGAACAATTCAAAAAGATTTTTATTAGTTCAGTATGTATGCATATATATGTACATTGTATGAGACTGTTTGACCCATTATTCTTTTTATTTTTTTTCTTTTTTATTTCTATTTTCAGTTTTGTTGACCACCATTTATCATTAGTTAGCAGAAAGTACAAAAGATCATATGAGTAATAAAAAGGAAAACCTGTAAATCATTTCACATAAAAAGTAAAATAATTTACAGGTTTTCCTTTTTTATCACTTATATTAGTAATCAAGACCCCTTTTGTATAAAATTTGCTAGTGATTACATTTGTGATTAAACCTATTGTTAAAATAATTCATATGTAATTCGAATTCAATTGTGATTATATAACCTAAAATAAGCGATACACTTGGAATAAAAAATATAGTAAAAGTATTAGTGTTGGACCAGCACATTGAATATAAGAAATTCATACTAAAAACAAAAGAGATACTTATTCAAGTCCTAGTAATAACCTTACAAGACAGACCAATCTTTCTCTGCCTTGAACGTAGCTTACCAATTTGAATTATCAATCTTGTTTATTAGATATTAGTTAGTGTGTAGTATCAGATTGTGCTATTTGGTTATATTAGTACTAGCTTGCACTTTCACAACATACATATATGCAGTTAACTCATTCTTTGACAAACAGACAGATATTTATTTGTTATTAGGAAATTTGTTATTAGGAATTCGTTGTTAAAAATGTGGGAGTTATCATTTCTTAAGGCAAAAATGCCCTTTATTTATAATAAACTTTTTGTTTACATTTACAGTTAATTTTTCTCATAAACACATTATATTTGTTATATTCTATATCCTAACTAGATCTAATAAAATTCTAATATTTTGTTTAACTCATATATAGGTGAAGTCATAGAAGCAACATAAGTAACATAAGTAACATTTCTGTCATATCCATATGACCTTAGATCAGGTTAGGATTGTTATCTCAATATGAACACCTGTGATCCCAAAAATCGGGCTTATACTACTAATAGTTTCTAAAAAATATTTTTTTTAAATTGATAATGAAGTTAGGTTCTTAGTAGTGAAAGTTCTAGCTTAAGCTTATATTTGAGGTATGCTTGTGATTCTTAGCATATATGTATATATATGTTTGAGTTTTTTAATTACAGATTTACTGTTCTTTTATCAACTTAGTACAAAATTTTAAGTCATGTTTTAGAAAATTTTATTATTATAAAATCATGTAAGTTGATTAGCTAATATAGAAATCAATCATATATTGTATTACATATTATTTTTTGCAGGGGTAGGGTGGTATAAATAGCAATAATAGGAGATACAAATAGTATTGCCCTATATTTATATAGCAAGTTTATAAAATTAAAAATTAATATATTTTTAAATTATATAAATATAAAATATATATTATGAGATTTATTTTATATATATAAATATAATAAAATTTTTAAATTTTAAAAAAATTTTATAATTACTAACTTTTTTATATATAAGTATTATTAAATTACTATTGTTGTATTATGGAAAATATAGACTATAAAAATCCCTATTTATAGGCTAAATAAAAGTCTTTTATATAATAATAGTTATGCTAGTACTCAAAAGAGGCATTGGATTTGGTAAGTATTATAAATAAGTATTACTTTATTAGCTATACTGCAAGTTTTGATTTTTTATATTTAGAATATATTACTTATATAATTTTTTTAATATACTATATATACTAATTACTCTAACTATACTACATATACTAAATCAACTAATTATACTAAATCTACTAATTATGTTAAAGTTACTAATTATGCTAAATCTTCTAATTATGCTATATATATTAATTATACTAATTATACTACATTTACTATCTAATATATATATTATTTAATTATGCAATTGATTTTTTAAATAAATTATCAATAATCTTATTCTAAATTGTGACATTATATAAAATTACTAATTTTTATATAATAAACCAATTTAAATAAGTAATTTTTTTTATTATAACTTTTTTTTTATATAATAATTATAGTTAAAAATTTTGTAGATTTATGCACAAAGATTACATCAAAGTATTTACATAATAGCACAAAAACATACTCAATTATGATTGGCTAATTTAGAAATATAACAAAAAATTTCAAATTTTTAATTTTTTTTAATAAAATTGATCAACTTTGAGATTTTTTTAAACAATATGTAATTAAAAATTAATTTGATTTTTTTTTTATAAATATATTCTATAAATCTTCAAATATTAAATATATTTATTTTATTATTTTTTTTTTTTAAATATTAAGGTGAGTACTTGCGACTCAGGATTTTATTGATAGTACATTCAGCTAATGGTTGCAT